ACGAGGTCAGGAGTTCGAGACCTGCCTGGCCAACATGGTAAAAACCCATCTCTACTAAAAAAAAAAAAAAATTACCCAGGCATGGTGGCGGGCACCTGTAGTCCCAGCTACTCAGGAGGCTGAAGCAGGAGAAACACTTGAACCTGGGAGGCAGAGGTCACAGTAAGCCGAGACTGTGTCATTGCACTCTAGCCTGGTGACAGAGTGAGAGCCCATCTCAAAAAAAATAGATAACTGCAAGTCCCTCAAGTCACTTAAAAAAGAAATCACCCTACTTTTTACTAGATTGTTTAAAATTAAGGATGGGCACAGTGGCTCACATCTGTAATCCCAGCACTTTGGGAGGCCGAGGAGGGTAGATCACCTGAGGTCAGGAATTCAAGACCAGCCAGGCCAACATGGTGAAACCCTGCCTCTACTAAAAATACAAAAAAAATTAGCCAGGCACATTAGAGGCTCATGTCTGTAATCCCAGCACTGTAGTAGGCCAAGGTGGGTAGGTGGCTTGAGCTCAGGAGTTTGAGACCAGCCTGGGCAACATGGAGAAATCCTGTCTCCACCAAAAATACAAAAAATCAGGGAAGTGTGGTGCTGGGTGCCTAGGGTCCCAGCTACTCGAGAGGCTGATGTGGGAGGATTGCTTGAGCCAGGAGGTGAAGACTGCAGTGAGCACTCTAGCCTGCCACTGCACTCCAGCCTGGGTGACAAAGTGAGACCTTGTCTCAAAAAAACAAAATAATAAAACATACAGAATAAAAGGCTTAAAGAAATTTAAATAAGTAGGAGTCTTAAATATTAACTAGCTTAGTGTTCTAGCTTTACCATGCCTCAGAGAAACCTTACTGGAAGAACTATTGTCCATGATTTAGTCCTATGATGCAGAAAAACATCAAAACACCTACTGGATGAGAGGTGCAGTGGGCCACACTTATAAACCCAGAAGTCTGGGAGGCCATGACATGGCAGGAGGATTGTTTGAGCCAAGGAGTTCGAGGCCAGCCTGGACAACAGTGTGAGGCCACATCTCTATTTTCACAAAAATTCTTTTAAAGGTTGGAGTGGAGGCCAGACACAGTGGCTCACACATATAATCCCAGCACTTTGGGAGGCCAAAGCAGGCAGATCATCTGAGGCCACGAGTTCGAGACTAGCCTGGGCAACATGCCAAAACCCCCGTCTCTACTAAAAATACAAAAATTAGTCAGGCATGGTGCCACGTGCCTGTAGTCCCAGCTACTCAGGAGGCTGAGGTGACAGAACTGCTTGAACCCCAGAAGCGGAGGTTGCAGCGAGCCAAGATCACACCACTGTAGTCCAGCCTGGGCAACAGAGTGAAACCCCATCTCAAAAAATCAATCAATTAATTAAGTAAAAGTGGGGTGGGACCAAGCACAGTGGTTCACAACACCTATAATCCCAACAATTTGGGAGGCCAAGGCGGGAGGACTGCTTGACCCCAGAAGTTTAAGATCAGCCTAAGCAATATAGGGAGATTCCCCTCTCTATAAAAAAATTTTAAAAATTAACCAGGCATGGTGGCACGTGCCTGTAGTCCCAGCCACTTGGGAGTCTGAGGTAGGATGATCCCTTAAGCCCCAGGAGGTCAAAGCAACGCTGAGCCATGATCACACAACTGCACTCTAGCCCAGGTAACAGAGTGAGACCCTGTCACAAAAAAATGAAAAAGAAAAAAAAAAAACAGCTACTGGATAAAAACTGAGAGGGAGAAAATGATCATTTTAGGCAGAACACCATAATGAACCCTCTTAGAAGGTAGGAAACTATCATTAGGCCAAGTAGGGATTCTGCCCTAATCCATTCCTGGTGTCTTTTTTGGTCAGTCACATATCTGTATTTTCACTATCGTGGCTGCTCAAGTTGAGGCTATCCTTAGGCATGATTTATTAAGCCATACACCAATTATTTTCCATATGGTAATTAAGATTCTCACATCCTCAAATCATTACATCTAAATGGGCAGTCTCCCATGATAAAAAGGCTGTGATGGCCAGGCACAGTGGTTCACGCCTGTAATCCCTGCACTTAGGGAGGCCGAGGCCGGGGGATCACCCGAAGTGAGGAGTTTGAGACCAGCCTGGCCCACATGGAGAAACCCCATCTCTACTAAAAATGCAAAAATTAGCTGGGTGTGGTAGCACGTGCCTGTAATCCCAGCTACTCGGGAGGCTGGGGTATTAGAAATCACTTGAACCCAGGAGGCGGAGGTTGCTGTGAGCCAAGATGGTGTTACTGCATTCCAGCCTAGGAGACTCAGCGAGACTCTGTATCCAAAAAAAAGGCTGTGACAATGCTAAAGTCAGTTTACTCTATGTAAGTAAACTTCTCTAATCACTAAAGATGAACAGTTCTGTATCAAATGGATAAAAGTTTCTAGGGAAAGGCCACAAAGCTATATTCTTAACACTACATCCTTTTCAAATTTTTATCAATGACTTAATAATAAAATAGAAGAGCTGCTTATCAAAGCTGAATGCGACCAGAAGATAAGTATTATTCAGTTTTTGTTTTAATACAGGGTCTCTCTCTGTCGCCCAAGCTAGAGTGCAGTGGCACAATCATGGTTTACTGCAGTCTCAACTTCCCAGGCTCAACTGATTCTCCCATCCCAAGTAGCTGAAACTACAGGCGCACACCACCACACCCAGCTAATTTTTATATTTTTTGTAGCAATGGGGTTTCACCATGTTGACCAGGCTAGTCTCAAACTCCTGGGCTTAAGTGATCATTCTGCCTTAGCCTCCCAAAGTTGTAGCATTATAGGTGTCAGTCACCATGCCCAGCCAGTACTATTAATAATATACATGTAATCAAATCCAAAGTTTTTAATAAGGCTAAATAACATACCAAAAACATCTAAATAAAGTTTACAGAGATAAGCAAGTACACATTTAGGCTTTAAAAATCGTATTTCACCAGTTCAAGGTGAAGAAGAACTGGCTTGTCAGCAGTTCATATGAGAAATAAAGCTTTAGTGCTAATAAGCTTTACAAAAAACAAAAGAATGACAAGGTAGCTATAAAAAATAAGGCAATTTTAGGTCACAGATAGAAAAGAATGCATACAAAACAAGTATCCTTTTTTTGGTGGCAGCCTGTGAATATCTGAGATACTGTCATGGGAATAAAAGACACATATATCCTGTACCAGTGTTCCTCAAACCATCTGTAGTAAACGGCCAACTTTCCTTCCCCAACCATTGGACACTTTTGTAAAAGTATAGTAAGAATACCATGGCCCCTGAAAATTCTATAATACTTTCTAAATGCTTACTCTCAGTTTCTGTGTTTAATTAATTATGAAGAGGTAAAAAGTTCATGGATCTCCTACTTTGAGTACATTTACTCCATCCATACCAGAAAAAAGAATCAAATCAAAGGGAATCATTTTGTGAGAAGTTAAATTTCCACTTGATATAACAAAGAATTCCTAGCCCGTAAGTGTTTCCATCATTGAAATGGCTCAGAGAGAACTGAGCTCCTTTGGGAAGTATTCAGAGGAAAAATCATCTTAATTGTTAAATAATCTATAAATATATTCCTACATTGGAAAGGTGAATGGATTGGATTAAAACACTGGAGAATCTCTCCACTCTCCAAGATTCTGAGTCCAATCAAAAGCAAACACACACACATTCCCTCAAAGTAGCCAAGAACTAATCAATCATCAAATACATACAAATCAGTTATGATGTATTAGGTAGAATGTATGAACAAAGGACTACGAAACTGACAAAGCATATGGAAATCATAAATAAGAAGCCCTAAGTGAGAAGTATAAATAAAGGACCACCATAATCCTTTGTAGCCCATTACTGATGGTACAAGTACATTCTGAGGTTGCCTCTTCAAAGTTTAAAGAGGTCCTCACAAATCAAAACATAAAACAAGGGTAATAAGCCTTTTTCTTTTTCCTAAGAAGTATTGATAACACCATTGCCATCTTATTCTCACCTCTGAGTGACCTTCAGCCACAAAGATTTAACCACGTAGTCTCTACCTTAACCCTGTCCTAACTGTACTACTGGCCAACACTATTCCTTTAGAGTCCTCTGGTTAAGTCAATCACCTTCCAGTGGTAATTACTTAAACCACTCCTCCCCAACACAGACTTAGGAAATAAGAAAAAGATACTCTCCTATACGAATTTCTGATCAACAGTAATTTCAGATTCTAAACAATGCAATTTAAATAGTTGTAGCTTAATACTCAGCCACATGCTATGGCTATCACGACTTTTCTACACCCTCTCAGTTCTCCTCCAAATCTATCCTCTATAAAAGTTGACCTATTGCCCACAAACTACATCTACTTCTAGGTTCTTGTTGCTCCTCAGGTATAAATACTACACAATAATCTACAATACCTTTTAACAATCAAAACTGGCTCCAAAGTCAGGTCTTTTCACCAATTACCAGAGGCAAAGTACATTACTCCTTCAGAATTTTAAATGAATGCCCCCAGGAAGAAGACTCCTACAAATACATTTTATAGTTGCATTTAAGAAATTTTTTCACAGCTAATTTTGTGCATTACCTCCCAAAATTCTAATCTGAAATACCTCTGGTAATTAATTCATTTTCTTAAAAAGAGCAACAGTGACATTAATAACTTAAAATACAAAACAATAAAAGTAAACCTGTTATGGATATTAGCAGGTAAGTTTAAGTGACAGAAAAAGAAAATCTACCCCTCAATTATTAAGGAGTGTTTAAAATCACAGGAAGAAAACACATACACAAAGCAAAAAATCACTATCTACTTGCCAGATTTCTTTTAAAATCAAAAACAAAATCTACTGTAGACTCACATTAAAACATGAGTGCTCAAGACTGTTCTACTTTGAAATTTTCCTGGAATGTTAAGAAATCACCTGTAAAGAGCCCTTTTCCACAAGTTCTTTCAGTGGCATGAAGACTTTAAACATTTTTAAGTATGAGCTCCAAAATAAATTCTCAACTCTGAGAAACATTTGAAAATCACCTGTTTTGTCTCTCAGTATTCTGGAGCTCCCTGTGGTCCCTTTTCAGGTGTTTGGTCAAAGACGTAAAGTACTCTTTTAAAAGATTCTGGAAAGGCTGTTGTTTTTCTGGACTAATTATCTCACTAGGAGGAAAACTCAAATTAAACTTCTCTGCAGCACTCTTTACTTTCCTTGGTACAAGTCCAGCAATATCATCTCCACAATGTCGACAGAAACTAATCACTACAGAGACATGAGTATGGGACTCCCGATCAGCATTAATAATATTTTTTAGCTGTTCATAGATTAAGGAAAGACCTTCCTTGTCAGTGAAAATCCCAACTATTGTCAATTCTGCAATAAAACGCAAATCAGTTCTTAACTTGGTAATGTTAGGTGTTTTCTCCTCTTTCCTTGCTTCAAAATGTTTTTTCCAGACCTGAAGAAGTGACGGGGCAAAGTCAGCATAACGCTGGTGAAAGAGAGAGCAGAGATGCACAGCACAGTTCACATCAGAGATTTTCAGCTTTGCTTCCACAATAGAAGCTACAGCTTCTGCAATGTATTTGCTTAAGTTTAGGCCATTAAAATCATGGGACAAGGAGTCTCTCTGTTGTTCCGTAATAGTTTTTAGCTTCTTGACAAAAGCAGTATTTTTCTTCAAACTTGAGTCAAGGCGGCTAAAGAAGTTTTCCTCTGGTCGGGTATCAGGAGCATTTTGGTTTTTGCTACGAAGTTCCTTTCTTAAATGATGGCGTTCCCAAGCTTCCTGATGAAGCTGAATAGATTCTTCTTTTTCTCTATATAAAAACAAAACAAATAAATAAAATACTCTATATATTTTGAAGCAACCTACACAAATCACCTAAGAGAAAAGCCAATGAAAAAAATTATCTAAATATAAGAATCTACAAGATTCAAAAGACCTTTCACTACTTTTAAAGACATTTTACTGGCTGGGCATGGTGGCTCATGCCTGTAATCCCAGCACTCTGAGAGGCCAAAACAGGCAGATCACCTGAGGTCAGGAGTTCAAGACCAGCCTAGTCAACATGGTGAAACCCCATCTCTACTAAAAATACAAAAAATTAGCCAGGCATGATGGCACATACCCATGGTCCCAGCTACTCAGGAGGCTGAGGCACAATGCTTCAACAACAACAAAAAAAAATTGTCCACAAAGAATAAACACTATAAGACCAGGAGTGGTGGCGCCCAGCACTCTGGGAGACTGAGGTAGGTGGGGTCAGGAGTTCAAGACCAGCCTGGCCAACACAGTGAAACCCATCTCTACTAAAAAATACAAATATTAGCCAGCTGTGGTGGCGGGCGCCTATAATCCCAGCTATTTGGAAGGCTGAGGCAGAAGAATCGCTTGAGCCCAGGAGGCAGAGGTTGCCATGAGCCGAGATCACACCACTACATTCCAGCCTAGGTGACGGAGCAAGGCTTTGTCTTAAAAAAAGTTTTTTAAAAAGGATTCTGGAAGCCTAGGTCAAATAAAAATAGAATATAATTATATTCTAATGAGGCCAAAACTGATGTTAAACAA